CTCCTGACCTGCAGCCCCCTGCCCCCCCTGCCCTGCCGGTTCCCCTCACTCCCGACTGCAGCGCTCTGCCCTCCCAGTGCCCTTCATTTCTACCCCCCAGGGCTGCTGGACGTCTCGCGGGGCCTGATGCTGGTGTCCTTGCTCGCCGCCTTCATCCCCATCCTCTGCCTCCTGGGCCCTGTCGCCCGCTTCTTCGGCCGCTTCTTTGCTGTCTCGATGGCCTCCTACATCACCAGCCTGGTTGCAGGTGGGCCCAGGGGCCAGCTGCATAGACCGGCAGCTTGGGAGGGCGGAGATGTGGCCAGGTCTGGAGGGGAGCCACTGCATATAACACTGCATGCACAGGGTGTGCGAAGATGCAGCCAGTTCTGGGGTGGAGCCACTAGGTAACAACCCCATATACAAGCACACAGGGAGCGTCGAGATGCAGCCAGCTCTGGGTGGGAGCCGCTGGGTAACAGCTGCAAATATCAGCACATAGAGAGGGGGAAGATGCAGCCAGCTCTGGGGAGGAGCCAATAGGAACAGCACACAGGACAGATGGAGATGCAACCAGTTCTGGATGGGAGCTGCTGGGTAACTACTACATACAACAGCATGTAAGGAGGAGCAAGATGCAGTCAGCTCTGGGGGAGCTGCTCTGTAATGACTACGTATAACAGCACATAAGGCAGGCCAAGATGTAGCCAGCTCGGGGGCGGGCGTAGCCGCTGGGTAGCGGCTGCATATAACAGCACATAAGGAGGGCTGAGGTGTGGCTGACTCCGGGGAGGAGCCACTGGGTAACAGCCCCATATAACAGCACATAGGGAAGGGCAAGATGCAGCTAGTTGTGGGGGGAACAGCTGCCCATAGCAGAGCACAGGCAGCCGAGGCCAAGATGCAGCCAGCTCTGGAGGGGAGTGGCAGACTAGCAGGCAGGCAATGCGGCTAGCTCTGGGGGGGGCAGCGGCTGCGTGTAATGCCCCCCCGCCGTCCCCTCCAGGTGTGGCGTCACTGCTGGCCATGGGCTCCTTTGCACTCTGGGCCTCGCGGACTCCCCCACACCCACTGGTGGCACGTGCCTACGGCTGGGACTTCTGCCTGGGCTGGGCCGGCTGCCCCACCTGCCTGCTGTCCGGTAGGCGGGGCTTCTGGGGGGCGGGGCTTCATAGGGATGGGCAGCCAGTGAGGGCAGCCTCGTATGGACAGGCAGCCAGTGAGGGTCTGGGCATTGGAAAACCTAATAGCAGGGGCTGGGAAATGGGCACAGGGTTCCCCAATGGGGCGGGGCTCGAAGAGGTGTGGCCTAGCCTCCAGGGGCGGCCTTACATACCATTTCCCCACCCTCTGTGCCTTGGTTTCCCCCAGGCGTGACAGGCCTCATTGCACACCGGTCCCTCTCAGCCTCCACTATCATCTTGGCTCCACCTCCTGCCTGACCGCCAGCCAATCCTGGACCTCCACAGCTGCCCGTTGCCCTATGGCTCGCAGCCAGGACTACTTTCTCCATCCTGAGGATCCATCTGCCACCCTGGCCCCGTTACCCCTTCATTTCATGGCGCTGGGGACTACTTTCGACCCTGGTATCACGTATCCTTCTGCCACTGGGACTCTTTGCCCCTGGGATTTACCCCCGCATATCTGGAGATATCTCTCCTCCCCAGGGACTATTTCTCATTGTGCCCTTGAAATATCGCTCCGCCAAGCTTCCTGTAGCATGAGAGAATATCCCTCTGCCACCGGGACTACTTTCTGTCCCTCATGCCATTAAATAGATCTCTGCAATTGGGACTACTTTTTCTTTTAGATTACTATCAAATATCCCTCCACCACTGGAAATAATTAACCTAGATTCTAATTAACGTTCCCATCTCCCAATCATATCCCTCCCGTGATGGGACTATTTGATGTCATCGTACAACTGTGTCCCTCTACAGCCGGGACTATTTAACCATCTCACTCCCTGGCATTATCACGTGTCCCTCTGCTGTTGGGACTACTCGCCCACATGCAGGTGCCGTCTGATATCCCTCCGCCCCCAACAGGCCCCACCCAGAGGTAGCAGCTCCCGGACGCCTGTGCCCCCCATGACACGCTGGCCCCACCGCCCCGGGGTGACTGACACAGGGTTCCTACATATCATCCGCCCTGCCCATAGTCCCCCGTGGCCCCAGTGGGTTGCGATGGGTCTGGAGCCCCCCAGGGGCCCCCGTTGCCCAGTCCGCCCCCCAGAAGGTTCCATGACAGTTGAGGGGCCGGATCCTGCCGGGGCCCAGCCCAGGATACCGGGGTCCCCCATACGCAGCAGGTGCCGCCCCCCGCGCCGGCTTGGGGGGCGGGGCCTGGAGAGCCCAGGTGCCCGCTCCGGGGTTGGGGGTCCCGGCTGACGCGCGCCCCCCACAGGCGGGCTGGGAGATGGTGTCGCTGCAGAGGGCGGCCGCGGCGCTGTCCTTCCTGGGGCTCCTGCTGCAGCTGCTGGCGCTGGTGACGCCGCACTGGGCCGGCGTCGGGACCCACGAGTTCGAGACCAGCGTGGGGCTGTGGACCCTGTGCGTGGGGC